GCAATCTGAGAACTGCAGCAATGAAATCTTAATGCTATCTGGACAACGAAAATCTGCTTTCCTTCCCCTATATCCTTCATACCCACTTTTGTCCCCACATTTTGCAGTCTCTGCATTTCATCTCACCTAAAATATGATAAACCCTCTCTGTTACAAGCAGTTGTTTAAGTAGCCCTGAGAGCAGATCAGTCTTCTGCTGGCTACAAGGCATAGAGCTGAATGGGAGGAAATGAACTTCAGCTGGTGAAACAGCTTCTGCTATGAACTTATGGGAACCAGTTCCTAAGATTCTGCTATCTGATTGTAAAGCACTTTTGTAAAGATATCTATCTAAACATTTTAAAATAGATCTTTTCATTCATCCCTGAATTGAGAATAAAAGCAATCTGATAAAAAAAATAAATAGGCTACAAGCCAAAGCAGAAGTGGTAATTCTTTGGCCTAGAAATGTAGCTCTTTTACTGGACAAATCACAAAGATGAGGACCATGTCATCATGAAAAAAAAAAGAAAAGGAAGTCAGATTTTACCAGGCACTCTTCAGAACAGGCTCAACTTTTCATCCTTGACTATCAGTTCATAAATCTAGAATTTCTTAGCTGCTAGCAGATGGGTGAAGGTCACCAAACAAGGACAGAATAAAGTTATCATGATTTAGAAAACTAACAACACAGTACACTGAATTTTCCAGAGCTGTTCCCCTTTAGCAAAGAGCCAGCAGAAAAGTAAAACCCAGAAACAGCCAAAAAAAGAAGTTCCCTTTCAACCACCAAGATGGATTATCTACAAATGGATTTGGATATATTTTCTTATGGGTTAAATTAAATAGTTACTAATGATATCCTGCACTTATATATAGCCTTTCAACATTTCAAGTGTTCAAAAGTAACACAAGCTTTAGGAGGATTGAGGAAGGACCATGAACTGACACCTAAAGTAGATCAACCACATTCCCCATCAAAGGAATCAGAACTCCTTCATGAATGAATAACAATGTGCCCTGGCAGTCAGGAGGGCCAAGCCTGTCCTGGAGGGCATCAGCAAGGCATTGCCAACAGCTTGAGGGAGGTGATTGTCCTGCTCTGCTCTGTGCTGGTACAGCCTCACCTTGAATATTGTGTGCAGTTTGGGGCAACACAATGTAAGAAAGATATTAAGTTACTGGAGAGCATCCAAAGGAGGCCACAAAGATGCTGAAGAGCCTTGAGGGGAAGCCATATGTGAGGTCACTTGTTCAGCCTGGAGAAGAGGAGGCTGAGGGGAGATCTCATCACTGTGTGCAACTTCCTCATGGAAGGAATTGGAGAGGCAGCACTGACCTCTTCTCTCTAGCAACCAGTGACAGGACCTGAGGGAATTGTCTGAAGTTGCATCAGGGAAGGTTTAGGTGTTCAGAGGGTGTTTGGGCACTGGAACATGTGCAACTTCCTCATGGAAGGAATTGGAGAGGCAGCACTGACCTCTTCTCTCTAGCAACCAGTGACAGGACCTGAGGGAATTGTCTGAAGTTGCATCAGGGAAGGTTTAGGTGTTCAGAGGGTGTTTGGGCACTGGAACATCTCCCCAGGGCAGTGGTCACAGCCCCAAGCCTGACAGAGCTCAAGAAGTGTTTGGACATTGCTCTCAGGCACAGGGTGTGATTCTTGGGGATGTCCTGTGCAGGGCCTGGAGTTGCACTAGATGATCCTCAAAGGTCTCTTCCAACTCTGATTATTCTGTAACTTCCTTCAGCAAGCCAATATCCAAAGTCACTAACCTAGCAAGCCTTGCCCTCTCCTAGAAAACTGTAATACATGATTACCTTGACTCCTCACTGCCAGAACATCCCTCCTTTGACTTCTATTGAACAGTGAATGGCAATGCACACCTCAGCATCCTCACAACTTCAGTTCCTATGTGAGGTTGGCAGGAGTAAACGTCTCAAAAATAATCAGTAAAGTCAGGATCATAAATCTCTATTTTGACACCTCCCTATATCTTGTTTACTGTCAAGACAATTCTTCCCTCATTTCAGTTTGAATAAAATGTTTTAATTCCATTTCATCTCAAAATAATTAGGTAATTCTAGTCTGCAAGACAAAATGAAACAAAACTAAAGTGATAAAAAGTAGTTTCCCATCTTATTACCCACTCGTGCAAACACACTGACAGTCTTTTGTTCATAGTGATTCACCGTGATGTTTTTTTCTCATAAGATAGCATAAAAAAAAGTTTACTTTCAACATCCCAAGAATATACCATCTACCTTTTGCCTGCTTTTCTGTCCTTCCCTTCTTTTCAGTAAACAAACCAACTTTCCAGCCTGTCCTTACAAGATGTTTCCTGTTATCTGCTGCCCACTTTCAAATGACGACCACAATGATTCTGACCTTATGGCTGACAAAATCTGTGGGAATTACTTTCAGTGAGGAGGAAGAACATTTTTTTTCTATCATCCTCAAAAGCCTCAGTTGCAAAGAGTTTGGTTATAATCACTTTTTTGGACAGAATTCAAACATCAACAAGATTAATTCAGAAATAAGTTTTCTAGGTTTTAGAGTAAATGGCAACAGCCTGACAGAATGGAAGCAGCTATGTTACATTTTAGCTTAGCAGGCATCACTACTGCTGTGGCAGCAATGTTGCTTTAATGGGCATTAAATTGACATGATGCAGACATCCAAAAATAAAGTTCAAGTGCCCAGGCTGTGCTTGCATGGGATATGCCCTTAAATGATCTGTGTTTGTCAATGACAGACTGTCAAAGATGGGAATTAATAAAGGAAAGCTACTGCTGTAAATGTACTGAATGAGTTCTGGGCTGGGAGAGCTAACAACGTCGTCTTCTTCCTTTACCTATTCCCTGACAATTGCATTTAACTGGCACACAGAAAGGATAGTTAATTAAAGGAGGAGCAGGTAGCTTCTCCTGGGGTTTGTGTGCCTGGGAAGTATCACAATATTAGACTTGATATCCAAATCCATAGATATTTACATTAGAATCAGAGAGTCATAGAATCATCAAGGTTAGAGGAGACCTCTAAGGTCATTGAGTCCAACCATTAACCTGCCACTGCTGTAACCCCTAAACCCTAAAC